GCGCTTGCATCGTGGTTATCTGCTGCTGGAGGTCCTGCAGCTGCTGTTGCATTGCCTGGGCGTCCGCAGGATTCATGATGGCTGGGAGAAGCAAGGGCTTTGTTGAGTGGTCTGTTCAAACTGTTGCGTCTCAGAGTAGTTTCACCTTGCCCTCTGACAAACCAGCCAGTCTTGAGAAGAAAATAGTTTATTGAAGAATCAAACAATTCCAATTATAGGCAGTAGACAGTTCAAAGTATAAAATGCAGGTTCAATAAAAGTCCATAGTCAAACAGGAACGTGAAGCAAGAAGCAGACTCTAAGTCAGGCTTAGCATGAAGTTACAGGAAGCAGGCAATTCCCCCCTCAGGCCGCATCGCAGAGCCATAGGAATAGCGATCCATTCTAGCAAGGTTGAACAGACAAAGAGCCAGCTTTCCAGCAGCATACTTATAGGGAAAAGCATCAAAACATGAAACTACAAACATCTCACTAACAAGCACATTTCCCACCGACAGATGGCCTCAAGATCTGGCCGCAATCCTCCCGCTTCTTCTCGGCACCTGTATCTGATTGCCCTGACCTTCACTGCTCTTGTCAGCCACATTCCTGGGCTGTGAGCACAAGCGCTTCCCTTCAGCTGTGAACTGTGGCTGAGAAGACTGAGAGTTCAGATTTCTCACAACATGCCCATTTGCACTCACAGGCCCATCATTTGCACTCTCAGACCCATCATGCTGTTGCTGAACCACAACACTTTGCTTGGAAGTTGATTATATTAATTGCAAAAGGGTTGATTTCCAAGTAAGTAGATTATTCTCTGGAGTTTTGGAGAAAGTGGAGAAAAGAAAACAATATAATAGAAAAGGATATTCCATTCTTATTTCCTTTTCTTTCTTTTTAAATAGAACCTAATGCTAGAATAAGTTGCATGCACAGCATTAAGTGTAAAGCATAATACCAGACAAACCAGCAAAATTCCTGACTGTGTCAGTCACTGTAGCACCACATATATTCATTTTATTCCACTGGGAGAAGCCTGCTTTGAGAGAGAAATCAGAAGGATAAGGCATCTAGGTGGAAAACATCCAATGCATGAAAAAAAAAAAACAGTGTTTCATTAACTGGCTATTGTGTGATCCAGAAAAACCTGCATGTGTGGTTGGCATCAATCCTCTGAAGATGTAAGCCACAGATACAGGAGAAATGTCAGGAGAAAATGCTGCTAGAACACGGCCATACAGCCTGGAAACCACACATCATCCCAGTAAAATAAAATCATTTTAGTGGAAATGTAAGTGTAAGTTAAATTTGTTTTTATTTGTTTTTAATTCCTGCATTTCAACATTATTATCAAGTAAATACACAGTTCATGGTTTGGTATAGTATGGAGTATAGCATTAGTTCGGCCTATTTTTAATGTTTATTTCTCAAGCAACTAGAAACTGCATTTATCTGGCATCTAACAATCCTTTTGGCTGCCAGTTAACTGACAGTTGATTTAATATAGCTATGATTCCACTTCAACTTCTTGAATCCTATAGATTCGAGATCAGCAGATTGGGGAGAGGTACCGTAATTAAAGAGCTCTTGTACCTCACCAAACTACAGATCCCAGGTTTTCATACAATGCTGCATATAAAACATGTTAGATTCAAACATCAAGGTGGATTTTGGAACTGTAACTATATCGTGTGAAAGGATTCCTGCATTTCTTTATCCCACTTGATAATCTTTTTCAAGGGAAAGCTAGGTGAAGAGTGAAGTGCGGCTCCATGTTATGAGACCCTTGTTTTCAATGTTAAAGAATAGCTTAACCTCCTGGGGCCACCTCATATATAATTAAGCTAAGAGGCAACACTTGTCCCAGTCCCAGAGAATGAATAATGAGCATAAAATGTTATTAATTGCTTTTAAAAAATCAGCAACATCAAAAGCAACAAGTTACTTCCAAATGCAGGAGGGGGAGCATTAGAACCACATTCGCGGAGAAGGGTGAAACTCTTCCTCCTCTCTCCCTGAGGCCTCCTAGCTACTTTCTCCTCTGCCGTGGCAGCTCTTTACCTTTTCTAAAATATGCATATTAATTTGATTCAAGCAATTAATCACACATGTAGCTTGGTTGTAGTTTTTGCAGGGACAAGATCAGGAAGATTTTAGACAAGGTGAGTTTTTTTTTAAAAAAAGCAGAAAGAATCAAATGCATAGTATATTTCCCATCGTTTATTTAATGTACCTCAATCCTATCTTTCGGTGATATTCAAATATAGTTGGCTGTTTTGCAGGGCAAGATGTAACTTGTGGTTTGAAAACTAAATAAAGATCTATCTACTAAATATATTCAGATAAGCTCCAAGGGTTAAGGAAAAGCTGGAAACTAACATGCTCCATGAATTATGTAATTAAATTTAAACATTCATAGCTTTTATGCAACTGTCTTTAGACAAATTCCTTACTTTTTCCTGATGAGATCTTAACATGTAAGGTTTCAGCTTTTTTGATTCAATGGGAAGTGAGAACACAAGAAGAAGAGCTTTAATTCCCTCCTCCCACAAATTCTTGGGAGGCGAATGTCCCATTGATGCTTCCTCCTGACTGCAGTGTAGAGAGGAGCATTCAACCTTGTTTGCCTCTGATCTGCAGCCCCAAAGACATAACTTCCAACATTTCACAGATGAAAACCTGGACAAGTAACATCAGAATGTGGTCAGAGAATGTTATTAAGGAGGGAGAGCATGCAAGCTAGGAGTGGCAACTGCAGTTTGCTTTTGCCTGAACCTATTGGGAAGAGCAAGAATCTCCTCCTCTCATCTCCCACCTGCTGAATTGTGTACAAGCGACTTGTGAACTTCGAACTCGGGCTGGATCTACACTGCCAAATAATCCAATTTCTAAACCCAGATTTGAACTGGATAATATGAGTCTACACAGCCAGTGCAAAGCAGATAATATGGATTCAGAAACTGAATTATGTGGCAGTGTAGATGGGGCCACAGTTTGTAGCAGTGAGCCCTCCCCACTGTGATTTATTTTCTGTATTTAAATTATTGTGATTTTATATTGTTGATGTGTTTTTTATATTGTTTCTTGTATTTAATTTTATTTTTTTATATTTTACTGTGTTGTATGTTGTTTATTTGCACTGCTGTATTGCTGGGCTTGGCCTCATGTAAACCGCCCCAAGTCCCCTTGGGGAGATGGTGGTGGGGTATAAATAAATTATTATTATTATTATTATTATTATTATTATTATTATTATTATTATTATTAGCAACTGAATTACAGTAAGTGAAAGATAAAGGGGAAAAGCAGGAGGAGGGGAGAAACACATTTTAAAAACAGCTGAAAAAGTGGGATGATAAACCATTACATGATACTGTCCCCATCAAATTGGGACTTTTGGGAGATGATCCATTGAGAAACCCTCATGTGCATATATCATTCAGTTTTTTAAAAAATTCCTGTGTGGTAGTTACTTGCTGTGATTTCAAATATTGTCTATCCTGAACTTGGAGTAGCCTGGATAGTATTGTCTTTATATATTCCTAATTAATGTATCTGAGAAATGCTAACATTCTCTGTTACATATATTTTACTTTCTAAGACTGACCGTATGCTTTTAACTTACTGCTTCATCAGATGGGCAAAATTGCCCATCCTGTGACACTTCGACTTCACTTGAGGCACAGAGCACACTGACTTCCATCACATGATATCAATCTACTATCAGTGAGGCTCCATGCCTCAGGTGAACTCAAAGCATCATAAGAGGTTGCACCAACAACACAGGAGGATTCCCATGTTGCATAGGAAAGAACAGGGAAATCAGGGTGGTAATGCTTCCCCCCATGGGATGAGGTGTCACAGGGAGCTGGGTTCCCCATATCCCCCTCACCGGATTCATCACGAGCCATTGTAAATCCCCTTGCTATTGCCGGATCAGGGACCTCCATATGATGAGGTCCATAGTTCCTTTCAGTGATGCTGCCAATCTATATAAATAAAAATGTAATGTTCGTTTGTGGGATTAACATAACTCAAAAATTACTGGACGAATTGCCGCCAAATTTGGCCACTAAACACCTACTAACCCAAGGAGTGACCATCACTAAAAAATTGAGTTTGTCATTTGGAAGTTGTAGTTGCTGGGATTTATAGTTAACCTACAATCAAAGAGCATTCTGAACTCCACCAAAGATGGAATTGAACCAAACGTGGCACACAGGACTCCCATGACCAACAGAAAATACTAGAAGGGTTTGTTGGGCATTGACATTGAGTTTGGGAGTTGTAGTACACCTACATCCAGAGAGCACTGTGGACTCAAGCAATGATGGATCTGGATCAAACATGGCATGAATATTCCATATGCCCAACTAGGAACACAGATGGAGCTTGGGGAAATAGACATTGACATTTGGGAATTGTAGTTACTGGGATTTATAGTTCACCTACAATCAAAGAGCATTCTGAAACCCATGAATGAAAAATTGGGGCAAACTTCCCACACAGATCCCCTATGACCAATAGAAAACACTTAAGGCCATCCAGTCCAACTCCCTTCACCAAGGCAAGAAAATGTAATTAAATACTGTTACCCACAAGCATAAAGAAATTACATATATTAGAAACCAACACTTCCTCATTACTTTATTTTCCAGATCACCAGACTGGGCCACAGCAACATGTGGCAGGAGACGGCTAGGGCTTACTAAAATGTTAGCTCAGTGGGTCTTGCACAACCATAGCCAGGGTGTTACACTATTGTACCTTTAACACTACCTATTTGTAGCACTTTATTACTCCTTTAACTGTTGCACCTACATTATTATTTTATTGATTGTTGTTTTATCATAGTTTTATCTATTTTGTTCTCCTGATTGAAGGATTTTAATGTTTGTATTCTGTATGTAAGCTGCCTTGGGTCTGCATTACATGGAATCCTGGGATTTATAGTTTGAGGGACCCCAGAACTTTCTGGCAAATAATGGTAAATCTTTTAAACAAAACAAACAAAATAAAATAAAATAAAACAAACAAAAACAGGAACTCTACAAAGTCCAGGATTCTATTGGGTATTCTATGGCAATTATATCAATGTGGTATCAGCAGGTTTGAACTATGTTGTGTGACAGAAACAAATGAGTAAGCAGACTTGAAAATGCAGAGGTGCAACCCACTGGAGAGGGTAGCAGGGGTAAACATTGACCTCAGCCCATTTTGCAAATGCTCGCATCCTTTTTTAGGGGTTGCAAAGAAGAAGTCCTGAAGCACCTCTGAGTCTGTGAACCAAGACTGTTCTATGCACGTGAATGCCCAGGGTGTTTCTGGAAACAAGTGTTCTGGCGCTAGGACTGCCACCTACAGAGTTAGATCTCATGTTCTTATGACTGTGGGAACCTTCCTTACTTGGATACTCCTGTAGGATAAATGCTGGGTGATTTTTATTAATTTGGTACACATGTTTCTGTTCTCCTGAAAAGCCCTGTAGCCCATCACCCTCAACTTTCTCAAGAAGATTGGAGTCTTTTCCAGAACACTCTAAGCTTCATGAATAAGGAGGAATCAGTTGCTTCCTTCTCCTGTCCTTCAACCAGTGGAAACACTGTCCAGAATCGTTCCATCCATGGTAGAATAACAATAGGAAATACGCTAGGTTCAGTTTGCATGTTTGCGCATCTGGGAAAGACTCTTTCTTTCTATATAGGCAATATTGAGCCAGATGGAGCAGTGGTCTAACTAGCTCTAAAACAGTCCTGTGTAATTCCACCCAACTTTAAACTGTATGGGCATTTGAGGAGAGGGGAAATTTGTTCATTTTGCTTCTTCTGGCACCCAGAATTATCACGCCATAAGATTCAGATATAAAGACTTTTGTGAACCTTATCTTCAAACACAAAATCAGCTTCTTTTGCTTTGTACTGGACACAGCTCAAATATTCCCAGTTCAAATATCCTAGGATTCAAAGACAGAATTTTCAAGGATTAAGCAAGCAAAGCCCTGAGCTTGGATAGCTGATTTTATCCGTTTCAGATTTTTTC